AACCACTTTACCTACTTACCTTGACGTGTTTGATGAAAATTAGTAGTAGTGGAATTTAATAAACATTGCATTTCGATTCAAAATGAAAGCAGTCACTCGGATTTCTAGTTAACTTACTTAAGTTAATATTCTGTAATGAAACCTGATTGACATCCAAGAAATAATCAAATTTTTATTTCAAACTGTTCTGTCGTGAGGCAAAAGATGTACGTTTTTAATATTAATAAATTGATCTTCTCATCGTTTAATTTGTGTTCATAACATAAATATAAACTGTTTAGGAAAATATTTAAGCATTTTTATATTTTCGTTTCTGAATGAATGAAAACTAATCAAACGTAACCCGTGAAACAACAAAGTTTGATTTACCTTGGTAAAAGAAAGTGCATACCCAGTAAATTAAGTCATATTATTTATGTAGTATGAAGTCTGTAGATTAAATTGCGTTTGAAAAGCTACATAAACTTTTGAAAGTATTGTGAAACCTTTATAACCTCAAGAAAATATTTTAGAAAATCTGCTTAACATAAGTTTAATTTTGCCGCATTTTATACAAAAATTATTCGTTATGCTTGTTTAATTCTCATGCATGAACACAGATTTTTCTGTGTCAGAAGCAAATCATCTGTTGTAGCCCTTTCAGTACTAAGAACAAAGTGTTGAGAAACACATGGCCGTCACGCCGATTGGTATGACATGGTGATTATTTGCAACATTTTCAGGGACAGGATACTTTTTGCTTGCATTTGTTGTAGTTTAGTAACCCGAAGAGTTAATACACTACACTATAAGATATTTCCCCCTCCTTTTCGCATGCCTTTGTGGTTTAATTGGAAGCACACTCGACGCGTATTCGAGAGGTCCAGGGTTTGAGAGCCGGCGAGAGCACTGCACATTTTTCACGTCTCCTCCTTAAAAACAACCCTAATGACTTTACAAGTGAAGCTCGAACTAAAAGGTGGTGGACGATACCAAGGTCATCCATCACCATGATGATAATTCATCTGCAGCTTAAAAACAGCCTAATTACTCTACCCAGCTTCAAAACAACCTAATGACTCTACAACAGATAAAATAAAATAAATCAGTGGTAAAATAAAAGTGTGTCATTTTTATATTAGAGTGCCAAAATTTTTGAATCGCACTGTATCTGGAATAATGAAAGTTTCTGAATACTTAAAAAATAACCAACAATTTCTTTTACGTAGGCAGAATAGCTAGTTATAGTCTAGTCTGGATATGGAAAACTTAAAAAGAAACCAAAACAATAAAAAAAAATTATCTGAAAGCTTTCAGATTTTAAATTACGTCTAAAAGGGAGTTTTTTTTTTTTTTTTTTAATTTTGTGTGTTACCTTTATTTATTAAATTTTCTTCGCACTTAAACCATAAAATTCAGTTCAAGATCAATATAGCAAAATGATTTTAAACTGAGCATATCTTTAGAATTTCCGATACACAGTCTCACGCGCTGGAAATAAAAAAAAATTCCGTACCATTCTGTGCGGAACGTTGCCATAGCTCGCTTTGAAATCCTAGAGTTTGTTAATCAAAAATTTAGTTAAAGTAGTGTTACAAAATCTTAAATCGATAATAAAATAAATTCCGATATTTCAAAGTTGGGCTTCCAGATGCCCATATTCGCAGTAGGATTACGTCATTTAAAATCGAACTGGCTCTAGGTACCGTTGTTTTATCACAATGCGAAAACACGTACATACATTTATGCCGGTTCTTCATTATTTAATTTCTCCAAATATAGTACAAGGCTATAATATTTAGTGACTACAGTTTGAAAAGTGAAACGGACATTCAGAGTGATTTGACGCAAAATCGCAAAACGAAAACAATAGTCCTTCAGGGATAAAGCCCCTTTGGACTAATAAAATTTAATTTTAAAGAGGCGAGAACAAACATTTTTATTCATTGAAAAGTTATCTTTATAATTTATTTAATTTTAAAACTAAATTACAATAAGTGGCAGGAAATCAGAATTCAGTAAAGGCTAAAATCTTAATCCCCTTTGGTGGCAAAGAGAGTGTAAAATAAATTAACTTGTTAATGAAAAGGTTAAAAACGAAAGGTTGATGTACTGAATACATTTATATAAAAGTTACACATCTGCAATCAGTTCGCCTGGGTTTAAATTAACGCTTAATTCGTAAATTTAATTTTAAGCAGTATAATTCATTAAGTTGCAAATTAATAAATTGTTTTAGAACATTATTTTCTTGTAATGAGGAAAAAAGAAATTTTATTTCATTTTGTAAGTCTAAAATAGCTATGCAGACATTTTTAAGTATACGAGTTTTTTTTTTTTTTTTTTTTTTTTTTTGGGTGTGTGCGTGTTAGCAATATTGGTTTTGGAAATACTGGAGTACCAATTTATAATGTTTAGTGATTTTAAGTTAGAAATTTTCCTTTTGTCAAATAAATTAATCCGTTGGTGGTAAATTGCTATTAAATAATGAAAGTCAATTTGCTATTCGTTTAAACCGATTTTATTAAGCTTAAGGTAAACGGAGTAAATTTGCTTTTTTCCCCCTAAAAAACTTAATTATTAGTTGTAATAACATCGTGTATGTAGCTAAAGGCAAATTTAAATTTACTTTTTAATGCTGTAATCATTATTATTCGTAAATGACTTAATTATAAAATTAAGTTTATTTATATTTAAGATATATACATATTTGCACAATTTTGAGTCTGTCGTAGAGGATGATGATGATGATAGTAGCTGAATGGTTTAATAGTTTAAAAACTGTGAGATGGAGGTCTATGATATGTATTTCTTCTTCTGTATAGATCTGCAGATTGAAACGAAGCAGCTGCTCAAAAGATATGCAGAGAAAGATTTCCGCATCATCAACTGGGTGCTGTACGAGAACGAATCGCTCAGTTTGCGGATATGATGTGGAATTCCTGCATTGGAAGAAGTTGTAAAACCTATATTTGAGAATTATTCTGCTATAAGCATAAGAGTTTCTGGATGCGTTAAGGCAACCAATGGTTTAGAGTACGTTAAATGCAAAAGAAATTCATTTATATTTGCAAAGAGCTGAAATTGGATGGTTAACCGTATTGGCTTTCACCTACTGGTACACGCAACACACAGCACAAATCTTGGCTTGCCTTTATAAGTCGTATTCGTTAATTAGCTCTACTTGCCTTTTCAGATGCATTTAATGCTCACAATAGGTCCCATGATAAGCTACATATCATGAGATCAAATTCGTACGAAAAAGAATCTTTCCATAAAGTTTGGTCTGGCAAGGAGCACAACTAATTAGTTAGAGGGTACGTCCTAGTTAATGACTTGAATGGCTGCCTGTAAGGAATCTTTCTACAAGATAATTCACGGAACTCCTTTCTGAAGTTCTTTAATCTATTGCATATGAATGTGATTCTAGTATAATGAATGCCAGCTAACTGCAACAGTACCCTCAGATTTCGACGCTACTTAGCACCCCCATTGAATTGGAAGAGGTGGGCATGTTCCTTAGCCACCACGATCATTCAATTTAGGTGCATGGCTTTCTTCTTCTGAGAAAACATTAAGAATACCATGCACTTAACGTGTTATTACTGGAGTCACTGGCACTATGAAAGTCCCACTGACTCTAATGAACATTTAGTAGCTATATGGCAGTTTTTGCATTGGGTTTGTTTTTTGCTTTAAGATGTTTAGGTTAATGTAACCAATACAGCTATCTCTATGCAAGCTGTTTAGAAAGTTGCATTAACTTCTTTTCCTGAGTTATCGAGATGAAAGAGATAATTGTATGCAGATCAAGACTTAGTAACATTTAGCATTAAAACTTTCGTGAGTCTCTTCTTGAGCGTTACAAAACTAAATATAAGGGTAATAATTTATTGACGAAACTAAAATTCACATTTCAAACATAATCATGCGAGGAACCCCACTTCACTACATTTCATAAAGCCAGGCATAAAATCTTTAGCTTACCGATTTGGACTGGAACTTTTCTCATCATTACTTGCTTCCAGCATGAATAATCAACGGCTACTGCTTCCAGTGGTTCCATTCTTAGGATCTGTCATGCTTATGACAAGACTCGGCTACCATTCTTTATGTAGACTCCAATTCAGGCGGGATCAGCATTCAATATAATACAACTTCAGGTTACCTACCGACTGACAGACTTCAGGTTCCAGTTAACTGCTTAAATGTCTGTGCTCTTCTCAAAATCTGCATAACACTCTGGAAGGAACGAGTTCGAAGTAATAGAACAATATGCAAATTGTCCCAGCCATATTGTCAATTGTTTCTTCAAATGTGTCTGAAATGCCTGAGGTCTTTGCATACGCTAGCTCATGCATCACCACTGTAAATTTTCTATGACTGTTGATATCTAGATTTTCGAACATCTAATGTAAAATGTTAAATCATTAAAATGTTTGTTACTTTTGACTCTTTATTTTAAAAGACCCCATTATGCAGGCACAACTTACCATGGCGTAGCAAGTGCTGTATTTTTTAATCGTTCAACTCTTCGCGCAATAACTTCTCAAAACTTATATAATACTGTCTGCCCAAACGAACAGGCAAGTGATATGGGCCTATTAAGTGGGCCTCCTCAAAGAGGGATTAAATATTGACAGCAAACCGGTGTTGTGCTACATATATATGCACGTGTAGCATTTTAGGTTCTGTAATGCATTATATTGTAGCAACCTGCTGTGGTGATATTATATGAATAAATAAGATGCATATTACAAGGATTTAAATTACATAAAAGCCCCCCAAATTAGACCATCTTTTACAGAACTTAGTGGTGGCATCTTTTATAGAACTTTCGTGAACTTTCATGACCTTACTGGTTTATTTATGACTGCTTTAAACTGATAATTTAAGACCACTTCTAACTAAAATGTTTATAAACATTTTTGTTAAAATTGTGTGTCAGTTTTGTTATCCATAAAATTGTAGCATCTTATGAAACTTTTGCACTAACTGATATCATGTTAATTTACAGGTAACTTCTAACAGGAATTATGGAGAAGACAAGAAAGTTTGCTTCTTTGGTGATTTTGTTCTTAATTTCATGGAATATTTGTAATGCACATGATAATTCTACACTCGACTGTGAAATAGAGAAGCAAACATTTTCAAAAGTAATTCTTAGCTTATGCTCCAAATTGATGAATGAAATCGAAGGAGATGGTAATTTTTTCTTTTCACCTCTTAGTTTATCAATAGCTTTAGGCATGCTGTATGTAGGAGCACGTGGAACAACTAGGGGCCAGATGGCGGATGCACTGAATTATAAAGAAGAAGAAGACAGCTTTTCAAATCTCCGAGTCAGTCGAGGCTTCAGGGATTTAATTCGAGGACTTGAAACTGAAAGTGATAATTCTCTCAGCATAGCAAATAGCATTTTTATCCACAGAGACTACACAGTGTCTTCTCACTACATTTCAAAATTAAAACATTTTTTCGGAGCTAATGTCGACTATCTGGATTTCACAAATGAGAGAACTGTGTCTATGGAAAAAATTAATGACTGGGTTTCTAATTATACTAATGGCAAAATCTCCAAACTTTTAATTGAACCTTTGAATCCTATGACTATCATGGTACTGATAAATGCCGTTTACTTCAAAGGACTATGGAATTATCCTTTCAGTGAAAAATTAACATGGAACGGTTTCTTTTATAGAAAAAATGGTACATCCAAAGTTGTGCCTTTTATGATATTGCAAGAAAGTCTTAATTTCTATTTTGATGAAAAATTAAATTATTCTTTCTTAGAATTAGATTATGTTGGTGGACATATGAGTATGTTAGTTATTTTACCTAAAAATGCCCAAGAACTTTCGAAAATGGATCTTACTCCTGAAATTCTTTGTCGCATTAGAAGTCAGTTGCAGCCAGCTGATGTCATGGTGGTACTTCCTAAATTCCGGATGGAGTACAAGCGAGAGCTATCTAAAGACATGAAGAACTTAGGAATGGAAAAACTCTTCTCGGACAGAGCTGATCTATCTGGCATTCGGGAAGAAAACGATCTTCACGTATCACTGATGGTTCATAAAGCAGTCATTGTCGTAGATGAACATGGCAGCGAAGCTTCAGGAGTGAGTGGAGTTGGAATAGATGGACGAAAGAAAGCTGGCGAGCAAATAACTTTCTGGGCAGACCACACTTTTTTATTTCATATAATAGACAAAAGAACTAACACTGTGTTGTTTTCTGGCAGGGTAGCTGATCCGTAGAAAAGGTAATAGAAAATGAAGATTGCTTATTTATGTGTTATTTAGCTTGAAATGTATAACATTATTATTTAGATGCATCATTTTTAAACTATCCATTTGATTAAATGCTGTTCTCAAAATTCAGATTCGTTTAACTAAGAACATTCATTGGAGATGAAATATAACAACCAAAGTATCTAGAGTTGTACTGGATCCACTAATGGTAATGTAAGGCAGATAATGTATAGTATTACAAAAATCTATCTCTGTTCTGATTTATCTTGAAAACTTGATAACATACATATTTTATTTTACCAATGGCGGGCCCTCAACCAACTTCAGCTTGGCCACTACTAAGGCCAGACGTGGTCACTTTATAATGGAGGCACTAATAAGTGGGCCACCTCTGCCTCCTATGAAGGAACGGATAGTTATATCTATGCCTTCTCCGGGATTCCAACCCGAGCCCTTTGGTATCGCAGTTGGTGACCCTAACCACTCTACTGTCTGGCTGGCTAACTTGATAATATTAGGAGGATGCAAAAATATGCTTTTAACCCTATATGTGTTATTACTTGTAGATTATATTTTCTTAGTTAAAATTAACTGCTCTTTCATAAGACAGTAGCAAAATTAAGAACACGTTTCAATATTTTTTACATATTTTTTTAATTCAAATTAGCAGCCAAGCCCGCCAGCTGAGTGGGCTGAAGCCCCCTTTTCATTCTTCGTTTTTAAAACAATTCCCATGTTAAAATTCGCCGGGATCGAAAGTTGGACCGAACTACCAGTGTCATCTATTTTGCGCTGGCTGCGCCCGCTTTACTCACATATGCATCCAAAGACACTTTATACACGATACACATGCGGAAAATCACGAAAACACCGATGCTGCTAGCCCACTAGCCAGGTCTCGAAGGTTGGACCGAACTAACAGTGTTGAGCGGTTTAGCGCAGGCCGCACCCGCTTTATTCATGTATGCATGCAGAAGATACTGCGTACTCGATAGACATGCGTAAAATCACAGCCAGCCCGCTCGCTGGGATTTGAAAGTTGGAACAAACTACCAGTATTCATTGGTTTTGCGCAGGCTTCGCTCCTTTATCACATATCCAGAAGATGTATAACGATACACTCTAATCACGAAAACATCCTGCGCAGCCCCTTCCCCAAGATTTGAAATTTGGACCGAACTACCAGTGTTCGCGACTTTACTGCTCAGCTTAATGGCCTTTGTACCAAGGTGTAATTCAAAAATTTTCGGGTATGATATTCAAAAGTATTTACCATTTAGACTTTTTAAAATTAATTAATTAAAATCCTTTTTAGAACTTCAACATATTACACACAAAATTGCATCAATATTATTAATGTAATTAATAATTCATATTAATTAAATAAGAAAACTTTCCATATACCATGTCCAAGGACAGAAACTCAATTTAGAACCTTGAAGAAAAAAAATTAGTCTATTTAAATTGTTTTTTTTTTCTTTTATTTTTTTTAGAACAATTAAAATTAATTAATTTAGCTTGTGCACAAACATTGTTAAATGAAATTACAACAATAATATATCTACAGGTTACCAAAAAAGCCCCAACTCAGAGGCCTGTGCAGAGTTGTATGGGTCATAATGTGATGAAATTTTAAAAACAGACACTTCAGATCATGCGCTCGAGATTTAGTACAAAAAAAAAATTAGTACAAGAAGTTGCCGATAGGTGGCGCTGTAACACTAGTAATGTGCATATTGCAGCAACGTGATTTGCAGAAATAAAGCTTCTGCGCAACGTATCCAAAAGACGAGCCCTACAAAAGTGGAAGACAGGCCTTGCACAGGCAGTTGTTTCCAGCTTGCTGATGCACAATGGCGACTTTGAAAGACAAAGCTCTGTTAGTGAAACTTTTCTACCAGAATGATGAGAACTTCTGTGCTGTGATAAGAGCATTCCGTCGGCTGAAGATCTTACACCGAGGACCAATGACACCACGCGCTCTACGAGACATGACGAAGAAGTTTGAAAGAACGGGACAGCTGGGAATTTTACCAGGTAGAGGACGACAGGTTGTGGAATCTGCACGTGTAGAAGACGTTGCTTTGGCGGTCGTGGACCCTACTAGCCAATCGCCATATGGTGTTGTCAGTGTGCCAACTGTTTCTCGTGCTGTTGATATGCCCTATACGACCGTCTGGCGTGTGATGCGTCGAATCCTCGGTTATTTTCCTTACAAAATCCATAGTCGTCATCAGCTGTCCGACGGGGATCCTGTAGTTCGGGAAACATTTGCGTTGCACTTCCTTGCCAGAATGGAAGTCGATGCTGCTTGGCCGTAGAACATCCTTTGGACGGATGAGGCCCATTTTCACCTGAATGGTCAAGTGAATACGCACAACTGCCGCATTTGGGCAAGTGAAAACCCGCGCGCAATCCATCAAGTGCCCTTGAAACCTCCAAAGGTTACTGTATGGTTGCGGTTTCACTGCAACATTCGTCATTAGGCCTTATTTTTTTGAAGAGGTGACTCCACCAGGGTTCAAAACCTGCTCTGTCACAGGAAAACGGTACCAGGACATGTTGACAACGTTTGTGATCCCTGAACTGCAACAACGTGGCCGCCTCCAGGACACGATATTTATGCAGGATCGTGCACCTCCCCATATTCTTCGTGGCTTCTGGTGTTACAACAACGATATTCAACAGGTGTTACGGCAACTTTTACCGATGCACGTGTGATCAGCCACTGTTTCCCTACAGCTTGGTCTTCCTGCTCGCCTGATCTCACGCCATGTGACTTTTGGTTATGGGGAATCTTAAAGGATCGGGTCTACCGAGAACACCCAGCAACCTTGGCACTTGAAAGACGCAATTATTCGACATGTTCGTGGAATTAATGTGGACTTACTGCGTTCCACTGTGGAACACACTGCTTTGCGAATGGAAAGAATTGTGAAGAAGCACGGCACACATATAGAACATCTGTAGAATGTCTTGTTGATCTGCAGCGCCACCTATCGGCAACTTCTTGTACTAATTTTTTTGTTTAATAAATCTCGAGCGCATGATCTGAAGTGTCTGTTTTTAAAATTTCATCACATTATGACCCATACAACTCTCTGCACAGGCCTCTGAGTTGGGGAAGTTTAATTTGGATAACCCTGTATATTAATGCAATTATATATGTATGTGTGCGTATGCAAAAATGGATTTGCATCTGAAAATATATCGCGAAAGTCTAAATGTTGATACTTATTTAAAGTAGGTAAATTAATTAGAAGGAAAGTTATTAATTTTTAAATGATTCTCTACGTGTAAAGCCGTGAACTTTGACCTTTTTGTTAACCCCCCCCCATAGCTCCTGCCGATGCCAGCTGTTCGAGTGGCTGGCTGTGTGAACAAAGAATTCCCAAGGAAAGAAAGAGGTATTAGTGCGCTTTTAATGACCTTGCTAATTAGCCTCCTAATTCGCAGAATAGTTTCCAATCAACGGCAATCTTCATTAGAACATCCGGGAAGTGCAAAATTTAAAATTTTAAAGAAATTGGTTAATTCTTTCAGGAGTTACATATTTTTCCGGCTCAATTTCTTTAAGAAAAATTCATATCTTGGGAACCAATAATCCGATCGGCTCCAAATTTAGAAATTTACAACAGATAGTGAAATGAGGGATGCCCTTTGTTCTAGAGAGATTGGCAAATTAGAAGATTAATTAGCATAATGACTAAAAATGCTCCACTACGTTAATTTCCTCCCCGCCGAATGGCCTTGACGATTCCAACGATCTACGGGAAACCATCTGCCCCCCCCGACACCCAGGGCATTCAAAAGTTGTAGAAGTATTTAAACATTAGAGTTTAGTATTTAAACATTAGAACAGGGTTGCCACTCAAACAGGAGAATGAAATTCCCTGACTTTTCCAGGTTTTCCAGGTGCGTTTCAAGAAAATTCCAGTCTATCCGCGTAACATACGTTGGCTACGCTAAGAGGTAAATTATGGTATTACTTGTATTGTGTAGCAAATTCACTTAATTATTCAATAAATCCCAGAGGACATTTATTCTCAATTATTCTTGGTATACTTTGTTTGATAATTTGTTTAGTTTCCACTTAGAAACTTAATAAAATTTAAGATATATATATTGGATAACAAATGTATGTTTTATTTAATTATTACTCATGATCATCACCAGTTCAACACGAGGCTAATCCGGTCCTTATAAATCACCACGCAATGCTAAATAGTTAGGTTAGATTTAGGTAAATTTAATTTGCGTGAGGTATGTTCTTAAAACTTAACACTTGAAAACACAAATATAATTATAATAGTTGTTTTCTTCTCCACTGAAGATTGAGATTAGAATCTTCCCAATCTGGAATAAAATAAGGCTTTTGTTGCAGACATTCTGCAGCTAAACGAAAGAAAGAAATCTATTTTAATAATTGAGGTATTTTATATTTATTTTGCAGCATACATAAGGAAAAAATATGTGCATTAAATTTCGTGATGGTATGTCTCATACTGCTATAATTAATTTCAGGATTATGCCAGAGAAAAATTCCTGAATTTGGAAACATTATTTACTAATAATAAATAAATTTAGAGGGAAGAAGCAACATTAATTTTATGAATAACAAAATAATTACTTAAAAATTGAATTAGAATAATCATCTATATTTTAGAGATATAGTTATATTACATGGCTAGCCTAGATGACTGATTACTATTTTTTTATTTTACTGCAAAATGGCAAGGTATTTATTAAAAAGAAAAAAAAAAAAGGGTTAAAAAGATTTTTGCGGTAAATTCTAGTATATGGTAAGGCTTTGGGCACGATTTTGAAAATTGTCGCCAAGACCAAAATGACCCATTTACTGCGCATCAAGATGTCGCCAAATCCCATTATTATTCTAACCAAAGAACGCCTATGTAAAGAAGAAACGGTTCCATACAAGTAAAATGCTATTACGCCGCTAGAATGCGGAGGGAAAATTTGCCAAGGGATTTGGCGACGGAACCTGGCGGTCAGAATTTCCCTCTCCGCGATGTGTACAGGAAATTGAGAAACACGTGTTAAGAAGAAACGCTCTTTGACAAAAAGAAAACTACGAAAATCCGTTTTTAAATTATTGCGAAAAATCCAAGAAGAAACGTTTTATCAAAGGACGTTTCTTCTTGGATTTTTCGCAATAATTTTAAAAACAGATTTTCGTAGTTTTTTTTTTTTTCTCTGAAAATAACTAACCTATGAATTAATTTACTTG